AATGAAGTCGTTACCTGCTAAGCATCACCATGTAAATTCTGTGATAATCTGCAATGGTAATGCTATCTTTTTTCTTATTAAAAATATGTAGAGAAGTCAAGCAACTGTAAAAGAAGATGGAAATCTGAGCCTATAACTTTCCACAGTAGATGAGATGGTACATGAAGTATCTCCTGGCTATGCCTTCATTTGTGATGTTCAATGAATATGGATTAGCAATTAACCATGGCTACACTCAAAGCTAAGATAAATTACACGAATAAATTCAGTGAACGGTGTGATGTGCTATCTGTATTGATCAGTTTGCAGAAAAAGACCTCGAAACCACTTTCAACTCGATATGGCTAGCAATATTTCTTGAACCAGTGTTTAGTCCAATTACATAGGAGCTGACATTATAGATGTTGGGAGATTGCTAAGGAAGCAAATTAGTCTGGGATAGATTCCAGAAGAGTCATATTTGTTTGGAAGCTTAAGAAAAATCCATGTTCGCAACCTCACAGGGTCATAATTACATTAATAGTTCAATCATTGCTTTTCTCTCCCAGGATTGTCCTTTTCATTTTTCGTCAGTTATTCCTTCTGGACTGTGAGCTACCTGAGGACAGATGCTGCAATTTGAATCCTTACACATCAAATATGTGACACAATAGGGAGTAACTGAATGTTTGTTCAATTCAATAAACACATGACAATTTCTAGAACTTTGGAAGAATATACAGTATGTTCTCATTCCACTCATTTGATTTCACTACTTTTTAAAGATTCATTTACATTGGGCCAGTATTGTGGTGTAGAGGGTTAAGCTGCTGCTTGCAATGCAGATATCCCATATGGGCACTGATTCAGAGTCCCAGCTACTCCAGTTCTGATCCAGCTTCCTGCTAGTGTGCCTGGGTAAACAACAGAAGATGGCCTAAGTATTTGAGCTCCTACATTCATGTGAGGGAACCAACTGAAGCTCCTGGCTCCTGACTTTGATCTGGCCCAGTTCAGGCTGTTGATGGCATTTGATGAGTGAGCTAACGGATGAAAAATCTCTTCTCCCACTCTCTCTCTGGCTCTCTCTAACTGTGCCTAAGTTAGAGAGCAAGCAAGCAGGATCCTGGAACTTCATCACGGTCTCTCATGTGGATCGCAGGGGTCCAAGCACTTGGATCATGCTGCACTGCTTTCTCAGGTGCGTTACATGGAGCTGGGTCAGAGAGAAGCAACTGAGATTCAAACTGGTGCCTGAATGGGATACTGGCATCACAGGCTGTAGCTTACCTTGTTACACCATATTGTAGCTGGCTCCTTATTTCAATAATGCTTTTGTCAAGATTTTCCAGATAAGGACACCTGTATGTAGCACTGTTTCTAAGTTGTGATCCTGAGGAAGTGGAACCTGCTTTTACTATTTACAAATGTTTCTCATAGAAAATTGGCCTTTCTTAGGATAGAGAAAGAAATCAGAGAACAAGTTTTATTCGTCATACTCAAGAAGATGTAGCTAGTTAATTACATACGCACTGGCATCATATTCTCAAAATATAAATATTCACACTGATACCAGGAAGTAGAAATAGAGTAAGTGTCATTCAAACCTCAGAATTCCTTTCACAAAACATGATAATTAATACAGTGTGTCTCTGGCAGTGTGTGCTGTGTTCAATAGTGTAAATACTATAAATACATCATACAAACACACACACAATAGGTTGTTCATCAGTCATCATGAAAATAATTTCTGTGGAAACAAATGAATTTTTTTTTACATAATGATGCATTTCTAGTGTTGGTTTCTTCTATGCAGCAAATTTGTCTTTTAAATTTTCAAGAACTACTTAAAGGGCCCACATTTCTTTTGGACTGAAGAAACTTCCAAGATTTTGTTAGGCCAAAAAAAAAAAAAAAAATTGGAAATGTCTCGATTTCACCCAAACTCAGCTATGAAAGGTCACAAAATATATGTAAGCTCCAGGCTAGCAATATCTTATTAACTTCTCACTCCAGTGTTTGCATCCATCTAAACTGCATTCCAATCAAAATAATTCAGAGGATGTCTGAGTTTTTTCCTCCTTGACTTTGAAAGTATGAAGGCAATCATTTCCATGTTTGTGTGTGTGTGTGTGTGTGTGTGTGTGTGTGTGATAGAAAGAGAGAGAGAGAGAGAGAGAGTTCTAGAAATAAACAGACTCGAAAACAAGAACTTCTATGATCTGGCTGCCAAATGAAGAAACAAGAAATGCAGTGTGCATCAGAAGCCCTGAGAGCAGGGAGCACCGACCTCTGAGGGCAGAAGACGAAGGTTCTGGAGAAAAGAGTGAGCGCTTCTGCCCTTCCTGCTCCTTTGTGCTATATTCAGAACTTCCAGGAATTGAGTGATGCTGAACTATGCTGGTGAGCTCATCTTCACTCACTTGTCAGATTCATAGGTTAATAATACCTCCCAGAAATAATGTCTTAGTAGCTGCTAGGGCATCCTTTAGACAGTTACAGGACATAAAATTAACCATCACAAATTGCCTTTATTCTTTCCTTGGTTCTTTTAAAAACATTTCTCATAAAGGAGCCAGTATGGATTTTCAAAATATAAATTAGAGCATAGCTTTACTTGTTATTAAATAGTAAGAATCTCAAGGTCTATTGAAATAATTTTTAAGCATCTTATAAAGTCAAAATGATGTTCTATACTCTTGAAACTACCCAGCTAAGCTTTGGGCCTACCTCCACTATGTCCTAGTTCTCTATTTTCCCGTTGTACTTATAGAATAATGGTATTATTCTTGTCTCAGAAACTTTGAAAATACTCTGCTCATCTTGGAATTTCATGACGGTATAATTAACTCTCTCTTATCCTATCAGTTTTATATTGATTTTGAGGGAGACAGAGCAAGACCGAGAGCAAGAGAGAGAGAGAGAGACAGAGAAACTCGCACAAATATCTTCCAACTCACTGGTTTAATGCCCGCAACAACCAGAGCTGAACCACAGTGAAGCTAGAAGCCAGCAAGTGAAGCAGCTGCCTGTGGTGTTGACTTCACATATGAGTGCCTTTTCGAGTCCCAGCTGCTCCATTTCCTATCCAGCTCTCTGATATACAGTGGAAGATGACTCAAGTCCTTAGGCCCTTGCACCCACGTCGGAGACCCAGAGGAAGCTCCTGGCTTCAGACTGGCCCAACTCCAGCCGCTCTGGCCATTTGGGGAGTGAACCACTGGATAGAAGACCTCTCTCTCTATCTCTCTGCCTCTGCCTCTCTGTAACTCTGCTTGAACCAGTGGATAGAAGACCTCTCTATCTCTCTGTCTCTGCTTCTCTGTAACACTGCCTTTGAAATAAATAAATAAATGAATAATCGAAAAAAAAAAAAAAAAAGAAGAGGAAGCCAGCAGTGTAAGTCCAGGCCTCCCTGGAAGGTAGTAGGGATACAACTACTAGAGCCATAACCTACTGCCTTCTAAGGTGTGAATTACCAGGAAGCTAGAATTGACGGTGGACTCTGGGACTTCAATATGAGGTGCTGGTGTCCCAAAAGGCATTTTACATGTTAGACAAACCACTGTCTGCCCCTGATTTTTTGTAACATGTTTATTATTTTTATCCACTTGAAAGCATTGCGGGGAGGGAGACAGAGATAGAGATAGATGCAGAGACAGAGACAGAGAAATTCTTCTATCCATTGGTTCATTCCACAAATGCTTGTGACAACTAGGTCAAGTTGAAGGTAGGAGCCTGGAACTCCATCTGGTTCTCCCATGTAGGGGAAAAGGATCCAAGGACTTGAGCCATCATCTGTTGTCTCCCAGGATACATCAGTAGGAAGGTGGATCAGAAGTGGAGATGCCAAGACTTAAACCAGCATTCAGTGGCATCATACTGCCTGTCCCCCTCTTTTTTTTATTGTTCTTATTTTGTCTTCCAAAGCAAATCAGTTACTGCAACTTTTTAAAATTACTCTTCATTGAAATCATATTTTGTTAATAACAAAAGGCTCCAACTTCAATAATCAACCATATTCTCCTCCATTATTGAGAGTCTTTATTGAACAATAAAATGTACATAATTCAGTAAACATATTTTAATATTTTCAATTTAGTTATTTGACAGCATCATGAATAATTCTGCTATAAAATTGAGGAAGGTATTATCTTGTTTCTATTAAGAACTTAATAATCTCTTATGGATGTATGCTAGAGGTAATATGCTTATATATACTTACATTAATTAATTGATAAAAGAAAGCTATCATTCCTAAAAAAAGGAAGATTCCAATGTAATTTTTCTTACTTTAGTAAATTTTACATATTCTTAGCATGTAACATCCCTCCAGAAGTAAGATGCATGTAATTCTTTGTTAAGACTGTGCAGGGCAAAGAAGTCTCAAACAACAAGTATCTCTCCATGTGACACTGCTTCAGGTTGGGGGAGGTGTGGCATGAGCAGCTCTTTATAGCGTTCTTCAGTGGGTCTTGTTTTATTACTCTAAAAGCAGGCCTTGTGGTCACTCATCTGGCCTCCTTAGCTCTTGTGAAGGTAGTTTGGTGCATAATCTATAAAACTGTTGTCATCAAGGAAGGATAATTATTGGAGCAGCATCTCAGAGTCAATTTTACTTCACCTCCCGCAGGAACTTAAAAAAAGTATCTACCAAATAGTTAGTATAGTAAATAACTCAATGTATGTATATTTCAGAATACAAAAACAGGGATCACATTGTCTTAGAGATTCAATCATATTTACTGAAAGAATACGTATGCCTAAGACTATTAACATATTCATCCATCCTTCTTTCTACACATCCACCCATTTATCCTCCTACCCATTTATCTTTTTTATCTATTTATTTAGTTATGCAATATATATTTTTTTTTTTGACAGGCAGAGTGAACATTGAGAGAGAGAGACAGAGAGAAAGGTCTTCCTTTGCCGTTGGTTCACCCTCCAATGGCCGCCGCGGCCAGCGCACTGCAGCCGGGGCACCACGCTGATCCGATGGCAGGAGACAGGTACTTATCTTGGTCTCCCATGGGGTGCAGGGCCCAAGTACTTGGGCCATCCTCTACTGCACTCCCTGGTCACAGCAGAGAGCTGGCCTGGAAGAGGGGCAACCGGGACAGAATCTGGTGCCCCGACCAGGACTAGAACCCGGTGTGCTGGCGCCGCAAGGCGGAGGTTTAGCCTAGTGAGCCGCGGCGCCGGCTGCAATATATTTTTGAAAAATAACTTTATTTCAGACATTGGATTGGGCTGTACAAATAACCTTATACAGAAAATTACTTGATTCCTACCTTTACAGAACCTTAATAAAATAATAATGCATGTTCTGAAACACAGCATATTGCCAATGGAACTTGAAACTTAATAAGTACAAATAAAAACATGTTATGTCCTTTAAAATACTGTCTAAAGGAGACATATACATGTACACACATAAAAATGAATCAAATTGAGGCCAGCACGGTGGCATAGAGGGTAAAGCTGCCACCTGCAACACAGGCATCCAATATGGGTGCTGATTGGAGTTCTGGGTGCTCCACTTCAGATATAGCTCTCTGCTAATGCACTTGGAAAGCAGCAGAGGATGGCTCAAGTCCATGGGCCTCTGCACCCACGTGGGAGACCTGAAGGAAACTTCTGGCTCCTGGTTTCAGCCTGGTAATTGTAGCCATGTGGGGAGTGAACTGGTGGGTGAAAGTTCTCTTTTTCTGCCTGCTTCTTCCTCTCTGTAACTCTGCCTTTCAAACAAATGAATAAATAATTATTTTTGCAAAATGAATCAAGATATTAAATATTCTAAGAGTAATATTTCTAATGTGGAAGAAGTGATTTGATTGTCTTCAATATAGGTGTTGGGAATATGGTATATTTATATATATGAATAGGAATTTAATGGTGTCTTTAACACAGAATATATTGATATTTTATATAGAAGAAAGTTATTAGCCTTGCAAAAGAGCTACTTGTTTGTGCTATTAACAGGAAGACATACCAAAGTATCAAGATTAGTAAAGAAACAAGTTTTCCTTTAATTAGATAATTTCATTAAATAATTGGCATTGTTTTATAAGTATATGTAATGTATTAAATATTTTTTTGAAAAAGATTTATTTATTTATTTGAGGGTTAAAGTTACAGAGAGAGGGAGAGACAGAGAGAAAGATCTCTCCACTGGTTCATACCTCAAATGGCTGCAACAGTCAGAGCTGGGCCAATCCGAAGCTAGGAGCCAGAAGCTTCTTCCAGGTCTCCCTTGCAGATGCAGTGCCCCAAGGACTGGGGCCATCTTCCACTGCCTTCCCAGGTCATAGCAGAGAGCTGGATCGGAAGAGGAGCAGCTGGGACATGAACAGGTGTCCATATGGGATGCCAGTGCTGCAGGCTGAGGCTTAGCCTACTGTGACACAGCGTAAGACCCAAATATTCTTAAAGCAATAACTAGATGTTCTACTCTTATTTCTTTAAAATTTAGATGTAAGTATTATTCTCACTCATTGTATAAATGAATTAAGTGAGTTCTCTACATTATGCCGCTATTTATTAGAATTAAAAAGGGTCCTATTTGATCACCTACACTTGTCAGTTTGTATTACATATGCAAGCTATCTCATATTTGTTCAAAAAGGATATTATATATATATGTATATATTTAATTGCACCACACTAGGATATGAAGAGTGATTATGGACATCATTTAATATTTCAAAAAATGGAGTAAAGAGATTTCAGTCATAAATTGTATGACAGGGAAAAATCAGGAGAATGTGGAGTTGAGAATAAATCATCCATAGATTACCATATTAAAGTTCCAAATCATGGGGCTCTTTGACAGGACAAGTGAGGAAACATGAGAAAGTACATGGCAAATATAGCCAGGAAAGTCATTAACATTCAAAAGTTATTTTTCAAAAGTGGAATCTGAGGAAATGGGGAGACAAAAAATAACTAAATGATAGAAGTACAGCAGCCATCCTAAAAATGGCATTCGGATCAAAAGATCAAAGATTAGTCAGCAAAATTACCCAAAATATACAGCTGCATACTTTAGTGGATGCATATTCATTCCAACATTTTAGCATATCTTCTTTCATTAAATCACCCCCCCATTCCACGTAGAACTATGAAGACAGGAATCACGACATACGATAGGTTCTGACAAAACAGACTTCTTTTCTCTGATTTTAATTGTGGGTTCAATGTTATTTCAAAAATATCAACATTAGTCATTACAGACCAAACAGGTAAGTGGTCTTCTTAGGATTTGATCCACAGAAATTGAATTTAAAAAGTTCCAATTTTATATTTTTCTAAAAAATTATTCTCAAAGGAGACATATAGAGATCTTTCGTCTTCTTGGTTCACTGCCCAAATGTCCACTAACAATGCTGGGCCAGTCTGAACCTATGAGCTGGAAACTCAGTCCAGGTCTCCCATTTTGGTGGCTGGGATCCAACTTCTTGAGCCATTGCCTGCTGCCTCCTTGAGAGTAAACAAGGATGTGGAACTGAAAATAGATACGGGATGTGGGCATCTTAATCATACTAAATACTCACCTTGCTCTGTCTTATTTTTATATGCAAAGCAGTTGAGGAAGTTTGACTGTAGAGTCATGGCATTCTCTTAAAATGCCATGTGTGAAAAAGCTAGTTTTCAGAGGAAAATTGAGTGGAGCTAAGCAGAAACACAGAGTCACTATTTTTCATAACCCAGCGCCCAGCTCTAAGGTGTTGGTTCCTGCAATTCTCTCCTCTATTATGTGAACTACCTTGGCATTCTTCAAACAAAGGAATCTTGATGAAATCAACCACTCAGGCACACCTAAAAAATGATGGGTTTCAGGACAATGGAAAAAAATTATAAACATGCATGCATTTTGAGAAATTGAGTAGGAGAAATACAAAGGAATAAATACAGGTTCTTCTGATTCTTCCCTTGAACTACACTCAGAAACTACAGGGCATCAAAGACACTACAAGTTTAAGTAGACCTAAAATGGGAAACAAAAAACCTGAATGCATCACTTCTGTGATATTTAAGACATTCTACCTGTCCTTTTCTATCAGCACTATAATTTCCCCATTCAGATATTGTTACCTCTTGTCACCTGCTCTATAGTTATCTTCCTGAGCATCATTGAACTGATAGAGATATTATTTTCTCTTGTACCTAGCTGGTGAGAAGACTGATTAAGTCAAGAGAGAAAAGGACATAAAAATCTTACGTTCATGCTTGACTCAAAATAAAATCTAAATCTAAAGGGGATATAAATACAATTCAAATACTTTAAATATATAACTACTTCATAATCCATATTAGCTTCTTGTTAAGCCAACTTTGATGACATCACATATCTCTTTAAATCACCATTGTGGTTCAAGCCATTTGCCATTTTTGTGAAATATGTTTTTGTTTTGTTTTTCCTCTCATCAGACTCATGCCCTCCAAAAAATAATCAGAGCAATAAGAGCACTACATGGCACAAACAAGTATATAGCTGGAGGTTCAACATAAATAATCACATGTAGCCCAACCCATGTTAAAATACTAACTATTGCCAATGTACCAACTAGCAAAATTATGGTCAGTATCAAGAAAGGAATTTATTACCATTGGGGTTGATATCAGAATACTAAGTGAAGTCTTGGTGCTAACTAGGTTTTCCCTTCATAAAAGAGCAGACTAATAACTCTAAGCTCATCAAGTGCTATCGTCTTTCTCAGGAGATGGGAAGGCTGAAAGGTAAAGTGACCTGCCTCAGTTTGTCAGCCATTCTATGACTGCAGATCGGGGTGACACTACACATTCATCTAGAGTACCTCTGGGTGTCCAAACTTTTCATACAAATCTACTTAATTGCACATCATACTCTGTGGTGCGTACCCTTTCATACATCCATAAACCTATTACAAAGTAAACATCTTGAGCTCAGGGATTATGTCTTAGGTTTACCTTGCTTAAACCAAGCTTAGAACATAAAAAATTGTTCAGCTAGTGCATCTAGAAAAGGTACAAGTGAAAAATCAGAGTTAAACTAAACTATAGAACAAACAGATCTAAAAGGCAACACAGAACAACAGCTGCCCGGTGTGTTTTCATCAGCACATGACACCTTTTTGTAGGATAGAAAATCAAGTCACAAAACAAGCCTTAACAAACTTTACAAAATGAAGCTCACATTATGTGTTTATTCTAATAACAATGGAATAAATTTAGAAATCAACAAAATCAACAATAAAAGTAAAAAAAGGGAACACTACAAGTGCATAGAAGCTTAACAAAATACACCTGAATGAGCAGTCATTCACTGACAAATTCAGAAGGGAAATTTAAAAATTCCTTGAAACTAGTACAAATTGAAACCCAACATACCAAAACTAATGAGATATCAAAATCAGTAGTAAGAAGTATGTTCACAGAAATAAGTATCTACATTTAAAAAAAATCAAATAAATAATTCAACAACACATATCAGGAGCCAGCACTGTGGCTTAGCTGATAAAGCCACCACGTACAGTGCCAGCATCCCATATGGGCGCCGGTTCGAGTCCTGGCTGCTCCACTTCCAATCCAGCTCTCTGCTGTGGCCTGGGAAAGCAGTAGAAGATGGCCCAAGTTCTTGGGTCCCTGCACCCACGTGGGAGACCCAGAGAAAGCTTCTGGCTCCTGGCTTGAGATCTGTACAGCTTCATTGCAACCATCTGGGGAGTGAACCAGTGGATGGAGGATCTCTCTGTCTCTGTCTCTCTCTCTCTTTCTCTTTGCCTCTTCCTTTCTGTAACTCTGTCTTTCAAATAAATAAATAAATCTAAAAAAATACATATCAAAAACTTAAAAAACAGGAAGAAAGGAAACACAGTAGAAGGGATGAAAACATGAGATTACACAGAGATTAATGAAATAAAAATTTTTTAAAATGCAAAGAGAACAGAAATGAAGTTGTTTTTGAAAAGATAAAGCAAATTAACAAATCTTTAAAAAAGAGATAAGATTCATAAAAATAAGAGAAAAAATGTGGTATTGCAGTGGATAACCCAGAAATAAAAGGATCATTAGAGACTATTATAAACAACTATCTGCAAACAAATTGGAAAATTAAAAGAAATGGATAAATTTCTGGATACAAATAAATTACCAAACTTAATTGTGAAGACATAGAAAACCTGAAACAGGCCTATAATGAATGTAATGATATTGAACATAGCGAGTAAAGATGATGTATCATATGATCCTGCTATCCTGCTTCTGGCTATATGTCTGAAGAACATGAAATCAGCGTATGAAAGAGATCCTTGCACTCTGATGGCACATTGTAAACCTGTTCACAATAGCCAAAATACGAACTCAACATAGATGTTCATCTATGGGTGAAGAAAATGTGGTGTATAAACACAATGTAATACCTGAGACCCTGACATTTGCCTCAAAATGGATGAGACTGGAGATCTCCAGTTAAGTGAAGTCAGCTAGATACTGAAGGATCAATATCATATGTTCCCTGTTACATGTGGAAGTTGCAGAAAATTATATCATTCTAAACTTAGAATAGTGACTATGAGAGTTGGGAAGGCTGGGTGTAGGTGATAGGAAGAGACTGTATATTGGGTTCCAGAACATGCAAGTATTTTATGTTTATCAAAATTTTAATAATAAAATAACTAGCATTTAATCAATAATTTATAATCATTAAATAATTTAATTACTCAAAAGCAATAAATCAATTTGGACAATATTACAATCTGTTCAGAGTTGATTAAAGAAAAGTAGTGGCATACGGCAACTCCTATCTTCAGCTGATCTGCTTTGGTTTTCAAGGACTCTAGAGGTATTGGAATTTAGAACCAAATCACCACGTTACTAAAAAATTCAGTTCAAATTCTGTCAAAATGGAGCTGAGCCACTTTCAGTTAAAATAGTGAAGAACTATTTAGATCTCGGGCAAATGTTCAAGCTTCAAAGCCATCCTGGAAATAGGTGATATGCAGCCTTTGATTATTTTTCCCTTAATTATGGATACTAGTAGTACTTGCTGAGGCTTGAATACTTGTCCCCTCTGAAATCACATTGAAATTTAGTGAAATTTTAAACAATATTTGTTCAGACCTTTCAAAAGTAATTATGCCAAGAGAGATTTACTCTCATGAATGGAAAAGGTGTCACTATAAAAGGGAAATTTCAGTCCTCTCCTTTCTCTCTTGGCCCTTTGACTCTGTGATGACAGCCATTATGTAATGACTCAGCAAGTAAGCCCACAGATGCAGGCCCCTGAGTCATGGATCTCCAGCCTCTGGAACTGTGAGTAGACACATTTCTGTTCTTTTGCTTTCTTTTTATTTATTTATTTATTTTATTTTATTTTTTGTTATTTTTTGACAGGCAGAGTGGACAGTGAGAGAGAGAGACAAAGAGAAAGGTCTTCCTTTTGCTGTTGGTTCACCCTCCAATGGCCGCCGCGGCCGGCGCGCTGCGGCCGGCGCACCGCGCTGATCCGATGGCAGGAGCCAGGAGCCAGGTGCTTTTCCTGGTCTCCCATGGGGTGCAGGGCCCAAGCACCTGGGCCATCCTCCACTGCACTCCCTGGCCACAGCAGAGAGCTGGCCTGGAAGAGTGTTCTTTTGCTTTCTATAATTAACTCAGGTATTCTGCTATAGTAGTACATAGTAGAATCATAAATCTATGATCTATGTTTTAATTACTATGTTAATGTTTAGCACAACCAGCAAATGTTGGACTATATGTAGGAGCAGTGAGTAATAATGTGGCAAAATGGCAAAAGCTATTTCAATTTCTGTTATGAATACATGTGTAAAAATCTCAATATTTATATAGTCCTACATGTCCATGAGCTGGGTACAGAAATCCTGTGTTACATAAGTTACTTGGTGAATGAAGTACACTATTTTACCATCATTTGATTAGGAGACTTTCCATCTTTTTTTTTTTTTCAAAATACTGGAATTAATATTTACTTTGAGTAAAGTGAGATTAAAGTTGGCTTTTATTGGGATTTCTTGTAGACTATCTCTAGAAATAAGTGGAATCATGCCTTGTCAATGAGAAAACTGTGGTACCACATAATTATGTTTCTAGGGAACAGCAACAAAATATTAACAGTGGTGATTAGAGGGTGATGACACCATATGTGGTTATTTTCCTTTGTATGCTTTTATGCATGATCCAATGATCTGAAGTTAACTTATAGTACATTTCAGTCACAAATGTTACTAAAATTGTTCAAAATGAGAGTGACCAGACTGCTTTGCTATAGAAGGGGATAAAATGGTTTCATTGTTGGTGCATTTCTATTTTTGAGCAATATTAATCAAATACTAATATTCTTTTTTAAAAAATATTTATTTACTTGAACGTCAGAGTTACACAGAAAGAGAAGATGCAGAAAGAGAGAGAGGGGAGTCTTCCATCTGCTGGTTCACTCCCCAATTGGTCACAATGGCTGGTGCTGCACCAATCCGAAGCCAGGAGCCAGGAGCTTCCTCCAGGCCTCCCACGCGGGTGCATGGCCATCTTCCCCTGTTTTCCCAGGCCATAGCAGAGAGCTGGATCAGAAGTGGAGCAGCTGGGACTCTAACCGGCGCCCATATGGGATGCCGGCACTGCTGGCTTGGTTTTACCCATTTTGCCACAGTGCCGGCCCCAATATTCTTTAAATATATTGAAGATTTCCCAAGAAATACTCAACCTAACATTTTTGCTATCCATTACCCCCAAACACACACCTTTCAAAACTGTTTCTAATAGAGATTTCTCAGTCATCCTCTAACCAAGCATCCATTCGTTAGCCCTGTGTTTGTTAAACATGTGGTTATTAAACTTATTATGTCCCTTGCTTGTTGTTGGGAGATGCACATTTAATTATGACATGACCTGTGCCTTTTGGGAGTTGAGAGATAAAAAAAATGAATTTGGCCTTATAAAACCATGAGATACATGTGATACAAAACCAGTGTGTTGGAATCAGTGTGGATCACATGGCCACAATGACTTTTTCAATATCCAAGCAATGCAGGATGACAAATGTCATTTGCCTTCTAAAAATCAGTTTAATTATCTGTGAAACTGTGGATAACAGCTCTCAGGCTTTTCACAAGGATTGTGGTTCTGTTATTTAGTAGACAAAACACATAATTGTGTGATTTCCTATGTAACTGTCTCTCCAACAAAATTCTACATTTCAAGTAAGCAGCACGTGATGCACCCGTTTTCACTGATGAATTCCCCAGTTGGCTCACAGCAAGTATTCAGTAAGCCTCTAACTTTGTTTCCAGGCCAAGATGCTCTTTGCTTCCCCAGAGTTCACCTGGAAATCATGGTGGATCAGTTAAATAGAACATGAAATTATCTGCCAAACTACTTAATTAACACTTCCTCTATTTCCCTCTTTTCCTTCACTTTGTCTCTTTCCCTTCTTTTCTCTTTTCTTTCTCCTCTTTTATCTCTCCCTCCTTCTGCTTCCTGCCCCCTCCTTCATCATATTCTTTTTCTTTCAATCTCTTTCTGCCTCCTCCTGCTCCTTCACACTTGGTGAGCATGTTTAATATGTGGCATGCTGTGTTAGCTGATCCACATATGAACAACATATCCTTAGTGCTCAGGAAGGTTATCATACAATGGGGAACACAGAATTTAAATAATTTACATATCCAGACACGTGGCATATACACATCACAAAGTCCAACCTCTTCCATGAACATTCAAAGTGAGAAAGAGTAGGAGTAAGCTGGGGAGGAGGCAAATCATCCCAATGTAGAAACAAGTGGAATAGTTTGCCTTAAAGTAAAAGATGAATGTAGAGTATTGCTGACATGCAGGTAGAGAGGAATAAAGTGGTACAATGAAATAGTGGGTGCTCTATTTTTCACAGTAATTGCAGTTATGAAGAAACACAGGTTAAGATAAGGGCAAAGGATCCATTTTCTTCTGAAGACAAATTGAGAGCCCTTGGAAATGGCCTACTTAAAACAAGTTATTACAATGAACAATAACTTGCATATTGCTGTTAGTGTTTTTCTAATTCTATCAAAACTTTTCTATTAAAAATTTCCTTTCCAACATAAATCTAATCTAATTTGTCCGGCAAGCTGTAAGGCTAGGTCAAACTTAATCTTAACATTAAATGTGATTAAAAAACAAAGCAAAAATAACAGACGTATTACAAAATCTGACAACTAAAAAATATAGTCATACAAGAGAGATAGCTTTATGCACACCTGCTGATTTCGGTCAATTTATTTTTAACATAATGAATTAATTATTACTATTTCCTCTGTCATGGTTTTGAAGGTTAGGAGGAAGAGTACTGGCCAACTTTTGTGCCTCTCTGGGTAAAAACTTTCTCCTTTTACTTAATTTTACGTTGAGACAAGCATAGACTTGTAGGAATTTGTTAGAAATGGTAAAGAAATTCTGTATATTCTTTATCCATTTCCCTCCCTGTGGTAATATCTTGCAAAACTGTGGTACAATCTGGCAAACAAGTTTATTGATATCGATGCAGTCAAAATACTGGCCATTTCCCTCACTAAAATGAATTTTCACGTTTTCCTTTCAGAGATACACACATTCCCTCCATGTCTTCACCTTCATCCAGGAGAACTCCTAGACGCGTTTTCCCCCTCAGGCTTATATAATTATCATTAAGGATCTTATTTAAATTAAACCATAGAGAGTGCAATATTTTGGGACTGGATCTTTTCCCTCATTACATTTCTCCAGAGATTTGTTGAAGTACTGTGTGCTTCATTACTTCACCTCTGTTTACTGTTGCGCAGAATTTTATGATGGGTTTGTAGAACGTCATAATGGGTATTACTTAACTATTCAGCTATGAAAAAGCATTTGGATTGTTGGCTATTTTTGGCAATTACAACTGCTATGAACCTTCACATATAAGTTTTGTGTGAACATACGGCGTTTTGAGGCTTAACTGTGCCACTTTCTTTGTTTTCTGTTACTTTCCTCTGTTTCTTCTGTTTCCTTGTATTACCTCTTGGCTAATTTTTATGATTTCATTTTGATTTATTTACACTGTCTTTGAGTGCATCATTTTTCCTGGTTTCCTTAATTATTGCTCTAAGTATTGCATTGCTTAAATGCACCTAATCAGTCTACTAACACTGACGGCTTACCACTTTAAGAAAATGAGGAAACCTTACTTCTTTTTGGGTTATTTGCCCTTCCAACTTTGTAGAGATGATTTTCTTAGGCATCTCTGCGTATACATTGAGTACCACTGCATGTGGTGTAATTTTTGCTTCACCCACCAAAGATAATGTAAGAATGTTACTAGAAGTAGCATATTCTATTTCCTCCTATTTCTACCCATTGTGGTATTCTACCTTATTTTTTAAAAAAAACTAATTATCACTTCTACTTAGTTTAGAAACTTTTCTGTTAGTCATTCTCTAAGGGTGATCTTCAAAGCAAAATTTAAGTTTTTCTTTTTTGAGAATATCTTTATTTCTCCTTCAATTGTGAGAGATATTTGAATTGATATACAATTTCCTGCTAACTTTTCCTTTCTTCAGTGCTTACTATTGTGTCACTCCTCTTTGATCTTCTTACTTATGAGTGAGAAATCTTGCTGCTTTCACAAATTTTTATATGTGTTTGATTTTTGGAAGTTTGTTACTAGATAGCATGAATTTCCTTAGCTTTAACTCACTTGGGGTTCATTTTGTTTCCAAATTTGAGTAAGTTTAGTCATTATTTTATCAAATATTCTTTAACCCACTCCCTTTCTCCTCTCCCTCTTTAACTACAATATTAAGTAACAGTTTGATTTCTTATCATTGTCCTATGAGTCTCTAGACTTAGTTTGCTTTATTCTACCAGTCAATTTATCTTTGCCATTTATATTTGGTAAATCCTATTGTTAAGTCTTCAAATTCACAGTTCCTATACTTTAAAAACTGAGGTAGACATTTGGCAGAACAGTTAAGTTGGCATTTGGGATGCCTGGAATCAAAGGTATACTATTTCTAATCCAGCTCCTGGTACTGTGCACATTGTGAGGCAGAAAATGATAGCTCAAGTACTTGGGTCTCTGCCACCCATATGGGTGATCCAAGTTGAGTTCCAGGCTCTGAACTTCGGCCCAGTCCAATCCTGGCTGTTGTAGGTATTTGGCGGAGTGAACCACTGAATGGAAGCTCTCTCTCCATGTGTCTGTGCCTCTTTTTATTCCAGCAATTTCTTTTATTTTCAGTTGATTTTTAAATTTATATACTTAGTTGATGAGCAAGACAGACAGAGAGACAGAGAGAGACAGAATACTC